GGATGCAAGAAAAAAAAAGTATGAAAAGGTAAATAGATTAATTCTCTGAATTTGATACAAACCGATTTTTGCGCTTCTTGCATTTGTAAATCGCCTGAAAACAAACAAAACAAAAAAAATTTAAATTAAATTAAATAAATATAACAGCGACGACTTTATTTAAACTGTGTATTCTTACTCATGCCGACATTCCCCGAACCCAAACCTGAGACAACAGAGGCAGGAGGATTCACACCCACATTTCCCATAACCGAAATCATTCCGGTATTCATTACTGGTACCGGCATGCCCATGGGCTGTTGCATGGGTTGTTGCATTGGCTGTTGCATGGGTTGTTGGATAGGCTGTTGTACAGGCTGTTGAATAGGCTGTTGAATCATTGGTTGAGGTTGTTGAGGAATTGATGAGTAGATGGCTTGTTGAATTTGTGGAGGCACTGTGGTCGGAATAGGTACATTAGGCGTTACAAAATTTGTACCAGGAACCATTGGTGGCTGATTTTGCACAGGAGCAGGTTGAACTTGTGTTTGAAGTAAAACTCGCTGAATAGTGAAATACTACTTTTTAATAATGTAATCATGGAAAAATAAGAAAAAAACATTGATTATTATCATAAATGATTACGCTACCTGTAATTTCGATGGATCAACAAAATTATGCTGTACCATCGCTTGAAATAATGCATAGGAAAGCTGAGGATTTTGTGCTAATAACACACGGGCTTGATCTTGGTGTGTTTGAATATACAACTTGAAATATGAAGATTGAAATAATTAAAATTGATAACCATCTTATGTTTATTAAGAAGAGATGCAAGTTACCTTCATCGTGGACAAGATATCAAGAAGTTGAGCCTGCGTCATGGAATGTTGGACCGTTTGTGAAATACTTTCTATTGCGGATTGTTGTTGTTGCGAAGTAGGTTGTGGTGCGACAGTTTGCTGAGGTTGAACGAGTGGTGGCAAGGGTCTTTCCACGGCCGACCTTTCTGGTTGTGGAGCTACAGTAGGATTACTTGCCGGATCACCATCAGCATAATCAACTCTCAATTGTCGACCTCCAACTTCTACATTATTTAAATTTCGCACAGCGCTTGCTGCAGTCTCGGCATCTTGAGTTAAATGAAGGCGAAGTAAGAAACTGATCACGAAGAAAGTTTAACACTTGTTTCTCAGTTGATATACCATGATATTCGCAGAAACCATATCCCCGCGGCCTTCCATTATCCCGGTCAAATACAAGACTTGAGTCAAAAACATTAGATCCGTTAGATCGATTATTATTTCGTGAAGGAAAAACTGGGAATTTTTTATGGATCACTAACCGAAAGGAAACTACAGGTCCAACTTCTTTAAAAACTTCGGTCAGTTGCTCTTCAGTAAGCTCGTAAGGTATATTTCCAACTTGACGCAAAGTTAGTTATTTTATGTCTCGGTATGTACATAGTACTAAGAATGAATAAAGATGGCTTACCAAACACTACGTTCGAGCCTCTTGGTCCATTCATTTTGAAAATGAGCTCTCGAATTGCTGCCGATCTCCTTTTTATCTAAAAAATCACGTGTAAAATCGGGACATAAACCGGTTTTTTCTTTTCGCAAATATACACGCGTCTTGATATTCTATCTAGTTCATCTACTATGGGAGAACGAGAACCAAAGTCAAAGCAATTTGAAGATATTTACTATGGACTTTCTAGTTCTCCCGGTATTCTCAAACTGGCAACGAGCGGTCTAGGTTGGAAAACTGCGGATTCAGAAAATATAGTAACTATCTCTGCTGAAGATTTCAAAAAAATTCAATGGATGCGTGTCGCAAGAGATTACCAGCTAAAGATTGCGCTAAAGAACGGAAGTGCTGCCAGATTTGATGGATTTGTTAAGGACGTATGTGTTCTTAAGTTTGCCTTATTCATTTCTGTTCTTCGGGAGTGAAGGAATGAAAACTTAAAAATATTTACAGAATTTCGAGACGTTAAGGGAGTTCATTCGTACAAATTATAAGCTAAATCTAGAGACAAAAGTTCACCAATTAATAGAAAAGTGAACAATATATACCTGGAAAAAACTACTTTATCTATGTCACCATTTTTTATT